ATCTGATCAAAAGTTAGTAGAATAATATTAAAAGCCCGATAACAAATCTCTAAATAACATAAGATTGATAATCTTTTTACATGTTATATAATTGACATTTTTTTTTGAATCCATGATATGAAACATGATTTTTTTCCTTTTATTTTTATCGAAAATAGAAAGACTTACATGTGTCTAAATCTGATCGACTAATTAAGTGGTGAAACTTTGATTATTCTATTCAAGAAATTTCAATTGATGAAATCTTTTTTTTTTAATATTTCTTTAACAATAAATTGAAAATTAAAATATTTAAAATTAGAATATAGGTCCACTATAAAATTTTCTTTTTAATATTAGTTAGTTGCTTGATAATTATTTTGTTAGTTTTCTATTTATAATGTTTATTTTTCAAAAAGTTTTGCATCACACCATTATAAAATTTCCTTTTCATTATTAGTTAATTGTTTTATAATTATTTTTTTTGTTATCTATTTCTGTTATTATATTTTTCCAGTTTCTTGTGTTAATACATGTTATCATGTGATCAAATATTAGTGACATGTTACAACAACAAATTCTTATTCGATTCACCTGATCTAGAGTTAGATATTCTTCATTGATATCATGAAATTTCAAAGGCATGATTCTTTATTGCTTGGTGAGAGAAAGTTTAAACAAAAAATAGAAGCATACAATTAAACTATGAAGGCTATAAATTATTATATTTTGGGTTTTTTTGTTTTTGGAATGCGAATCTGGTTTTTTTTTTCCTTTTCTTAATATATGTGACAATTTTTTTTTTTTATAATTAGTTGTTCATATTTTTGATTTTTCTGATTTTCGTTATTTTTTTATTTTCGTAATGGAAATATGTTTTGTTTTCTTTTTTTATTGGGTTTAACATTTTATTTTCTTTTTTATTGCTGTTATTTGTTTAACTAGGGTATTTTCAAAATTTTAAACATAAATAGGGTATTTTTCAAAGAAACCCAATAAATAATCCTATTTTTTGAAAAATCATAATTTGACTATATATAGAAACGTATTTGACATACTAAGATACATAATCTCTTTACTTTTTTAAATGATTCTGTTTGTCCATAATTAAAACACCACTGAAAAAAACATCATCCAGTTTTTCTTTACCAAATTTACAACATATACATAGAAATAATATTGTCCATTTGTTTAAATTATACTCCCTCTGTCCCATATTTTCTTTACCAAATTTACAACTAGTTGGGTAAAATGTATCTGAAAAAAAGTGGATGTATCTGGATGTATTTGGATGAAAAAAATGTTTGTCCATAATTCCATCGAGATACATCCACTTTTTTTTCAGATACATTTTGTCCAACTGCTTATAATATGGGATAGATGGAGTAATTGTATGAAATCTTTCTATGGTTAAATTTTTTAATACTATATATGTTTAGACCATGTTTGTATGTCTAGTTCTTATATCTCTATTGTTTTCAAGAAGGTATAATATAAATAGTCAATCACTAGAGTCCTCCAAAAACATGTGTGTATCCTCATAAGTAGTCTTCATCTCTCCCATTCTATTTAGTACCCTCTCTTGTTGTTCATTCATTGATCTTTTAATATTAATTATAAAACCAATGAGATAAATCTCAGCAGCCAAAAAGATCACTACATGTGGCTTCTCGTCAGCAGAAGCAGCCGTACAAAGCACTTCTCAAGCAGCCGTGTGCGCCGACACCGACGGAGAGGCCACATGGCTGCTTTTGAGAAGTGATTTGTACCGATGCTTTTGCTGATGAGAAGTTACACGTTGTGATCTTCTTGGCTCCTAAGATTTATCACTCATTAGTTATACAATTAATATTAAAAGATCAATAGAATGGACAACAAGAGGGTGCTACATAGAATGAGAGAGATGAAGACTGTTTATGAGGATATATCATATACAAGTTTCTTTGGAGGACTCTAGTGATTGACTATTTATATTACACTTTCTTGAAAATAATAGAGGTATAGGAACTAGACATACAAACATGGTCTAAACGTATATAGTATTAAAAATTTAAAACATAGATAGATTTCATACAAATCTATAATTATGGAAAAAAATTATTTTTATGAATATGTTGTATATTTGGTAAAGAAAAACTGTATATGATTTTTTTCCAATTGTGTTTTAATTATGAACAAACAGATTAGTTTAACAAAAAATAAAGAGATTATGTATTTGAGTATGTCAAATACGTTTCTATATATTTAATTGTTAAATTTGTTTGACCAATAAGGGAAAAGTCATATTTTGTATGAAAATATTCTCATACATGTCGTCAGATCAAATTGTCTATCTAAATCAAGTTTGGAATTCTTAATTGCGGTTTACACAACTCAACTTCTTCTATATATTAATTTAAGAATTGCTCTCACATGGAACCAATAAAGATTACCCTCAAAACATGAAAGATGACGTACTCGGTTACCGTTGAAGAAGTTACAAGATCTTTGCTTAAATAAACTCGGTGATAATTATTATTCATATCTTATTATATAAAGTTGGATGCGCGCGACGTGGTTGCGACACGTAGGATTTTTATAAATTATATGATCGACATGTGTCACTTTTAATGTTAAGACCGTTAAGATCGTGACACATGTTTTGAAAAAAAAATTTTTATTTATTTAAATATTAGAAAAACGAAAATTAAGAAAAAAAAATTTTAACATATAACATTAAATATATATATATATAATTATAAATAGATTAACATTAAATTTTTACATTTTTTAAACAGGAAAACACAATTCAAGGAAAAATAGGAAACAAATAGCAATTTTTTTAAAAAAATGTTATATCCATCAAGAAAAGGAAAAAAACATACTCCCAATACGAAAAGGAAAAATAATCGATATTCAGAAAAACATGAAACAAATAATAAAAGAAAAAATGTTACATCGTTAAGAAAAGGAGAAAAAACATATTCCCATTAAGAAAAGGAAACAAAAAAAACAATATATAATAAGTTATAGCTTTCATGATTTATATCTGTGATTCTATCTTTTGTTTAAACTTTCTCTTTTATTACAAAATAAAAATCATGTACTTTAAAGTTCAAGATATCAATGAAAATATTTAACTTTAGATAAGTTGGGTAGAAATTGAAAATTTTGTCGCAAAATTTTCTAATATATGATCATGTGATAACATGTGTTAACAAAAGAAAATTAGAAAAATGTAATAAGATAAATAAAAAAACTAACAAAATAATTTTAAAACAACTAACTAATTATGAATAAGAAAATTTATAATGGTCTGAGGCAAAACAAAATTGAACAAAAAATTATGATAAATAGAAAATTAACAAAATAATTATAACATTAAAAATATATCTAATTGACCGATATTCTAATCTAAATAGATTAATTTTCTATTTTTTGGTAGGTAAAACAATATTATGAAAAAGATTTCATCAATCGAAATCTTTTAAATAGAATAATCAATTATAATTAAATATTATAATTATAATAATCAAAATAATCTTTTGAATATTATTCTACTTACTTTTAAAAGTGACCAGATTTTTGTTTAGTATTTTCCTATGATTTATTTCAATTATATTAAAATAAACCCGCGTATACGCGGGGCCTAATCTAGTGTCTAATATTTTTTCAGCTTTTATATGCAGAAAAAGAAAAAAAAAAAAAAACAATCAGACGGATTCAAGATTGGTTCTCAGGTATTATAAACGCATCAGTTATACGAATACTTCTCTTTGTTTTACACAATTTGATCTTCTCATTCTCATGTATTAGTAATAATATCTCAACAAAATATCCAGTTTACGCAGATAAACTAAAAGTTACTTTCGAATGCATCAAAGACAACTATGGTGATCCAAAAAAAAAAAGATGGATTCAAGATTAGTTCTCATGTATTATATACGCGCATCAGTTATACGATACATCTCTCTTTCATCTAAGACTCCTTCTCATGTATTGGTAATAATATTTTATCTAAAACCCTAAAATCTAACATTAAACCCTTAAATCTAAACCCTAAACCCCAAAATCTAAACCCTAATCTAGGATTAGTGAACCCAAACATATATATTAAAATTAGGAAAAGGTGTATTTTTGAAAATTTCCATACTATAGGTGTAGTTTTGAAAATTTGCACCTCAAGAGGTGTATTTTATAAAATTTCTCTTTTATCATGGTACAACAAAATTATTATATTTAATTGAGGGTCTTAATATGTTAAGTTAGGATATGTGTATATTAAACACTCTTGTAAAGTCGCAACTCTTTTTTTAGGTTGTGTTACACAAGAGCGGTTGTGTAACACACAAGTAGTAGAAATTCTGGTTGAAATTCAGGCTGAAACAAGAACAAAGAGGAGTTAGTTGTGTGTCTTGAGTTTTTATGTGCGCCACGTGCAGGTACTTAATGAGACAATGGGTTTGTGGAAAATTCAAGAAAACTATTTGCTCCATGAGGTTCTGTCTATGAAAAGCTCTGACGATCAAAATCTGGGTGGTTTTGCAAGTTATTCATAGATGATGATTTCAGAATAGAAAGTGTGTAGAGTTTAGGAGCCTACAAAGAAGATTATATATTTGTGGCATGAGCTCAAGTATAAGCTGGAAAAATCAAGGCGATTTCTGTTCTCGACAGAGAGAAAAGCTGCAGCTTATCGGGTTCATAAAAAGGTTTTGATTGCTAACATGAAAAGCTGTTCACTGCACTATGTGATTCAAGTCGAGAGTCAAGAGTGCTTCGTGCTGAATTACCCAAGAAATAGTAACATCTTCTTAGCTAAGAGTGAAATTACCCAAGAAATAGTAACAAACTTCTCAGCTATTGTACAATAGAAATATCATAAAGTGCCTCTACGCGTAATAAACTCGTATCTTAATAGATTTGGAAATATTTCGGCCCTACAAGAGCCCACCGCCTCTACAAATAATTGCATAATAACAGAGGACAAACGTGCACCAAGGGAGAAAAAGAAAAGAAAAACCTAAAAGCACTTCTCGATAATGGAGTTTTTTACCGACAACGTATCTTTCAACCATGATGAAATTACGATAGAAGATCGTAGACGAAGACGAGCAGTAGCATCTAGACGCGCACTAGAAGAGGCAAACGCAATATTTGACGAGACAGACTCAATAATTGAAGAGATAGACTCAGTTTATGAGATCACCGCCGATATCCAGTTTAAACCTAAACCGGCAAGTAAGGTTGAGGTTGAGTCTTTGTCAAGGAAAGTATACAAGAAGACGTCAAGTTCCGACATGTGCACAATTTGTTTGGATGAGTTTAAAACAGGAGAAAGAGTCGTGACGTTACCTTGCGGACACGAGTTTGATGATAGATGTATCCTCGAGTGGTTTGCCACCAATCATGTTTGTCCACTGTGCCGTTTCCAGCTACCGCGTGAAGATCAGGTGAAACGAGCCCTAGAATTTGGTTTAGGGATTTAAATCTTTTTTTTTGTTAAATATTAGGGTTTTAGATAAAGTTGATAACGTCAGTAGACTGCTTTTATCTCATTGTAATGCTTGTGTTGTAGCTTTTTTTGTAAGCTTTGAATTTATGGAAAGGTAGATGAAGTTGTAACTGTGATTTTAATTTCTTTCTCTCTCTCTCTCTCTCTCTCTCTCTCTCTCTCTCTCTCTCTCAATATTCTTTTTTTCATTCTCATATTTCCGCCGGAAAAAAAAAATTTACAAAGGACGATTCATCTGAAGCCGAGAGAGAAGCCTATACTTCCTCCCTCACAGCCACGGAGAACGTCACTGTTTTTGCCTAGTTTTTTTTTTACCTGTATTCATTTGGTCATAATGGAATTTTTACTCGTTGTGAAAATCTTCGTATGGTGAAGATCCGCTTGAACAACCACTCTCAAACGCAGTGGTCTCTCTTGGCGATGATGGATGCTGCGAAGTCGAACCTAAGATGCAAAACCAAAGTCAGAAAGCAGAGTCAAAACGAGAATGAGATATATGAGAAGAGTTTGAGAGTTTTCTTCTACTAACCTCTTTGAGATCTTGGACGGAATTTCTTAGTGTGTCGTCTGATGAGTCTCTTAGCCTTTGTTATAGTTAATTGCCGAGCAAAAGGAGAGAACTCTACATCACTGTCACTCCAATCTCCCTGGAAGTCGTTCTCTGCTTCGCCTCTCATAGTTCTCAAGACAAACGCTTTGGCTTTACGCCTTTGCGTATTGAAGAGTCCTCGAATTGAAGTAACGAACCCATCTCCTGCTCCATCGCTTTGACGCTTAAACCATGTCACTTGGTTTTGATCGGATTTCCCCGCTTGATCATTGTCACTTAGATTAAGGTCGTTGTCAGTAGAGTCTCTATTGTTCTGTGATTTGTCTTTGAATTTCTTCCCCTGAAAGAGAAAAATCAGATAACTTATCTTCTCCACATAACCTAAACATCATTTTATTCACGCTGTGTATATATTTTGTTTACCTGCATTCCTGTAACAGACTTGAGTACTCCCCAAATAATGTGCTTCTTAACACGAGAGAAGAGTCTTCTCCAAGTCCCAGTAAACTCAACGCGGTGAAATGTGTCCATCAGCAATTTGAGGTCATTTACGACAAATCTTGAGCCTTCATATGTAACTAGAAGCTCCACCTGAGGTAAAATGATGTAAACAGATTAAACTAAACCAATTTCTGAGTTCTGACTTTAAAATCTACAAAGTGAAAGCAGAGATTAGCTAACACAACTTACTTGACTTATTTTGATGTTGTGAAACTCCATCATCTTTCTCGGCCGAGATTTCTTCTCCTCTTGTGATTTCCCAGCTTTCTTTTCTTCATGAGAAGATCGGCCGGACTTTACAGGTTTCGTCTCTTTGAGTTTCTGTTTGGAGGAATCCTCCTGTTGTTGTTGTTCAACGGAAGATGTCACGGTGCAGGAGTGAACTTGTAGAACGAGTTCGTTAGCTACGGATTCGGCTACATTTTCTTCCCAGTTCCTATCGAAAGAAGATGTTCTTCTCAACTCCTGACCTGAACCACTAGTGCTAGATCTGATGCTAAGCATATTTGATTTCTGCAAACAGAATGCAAGTAAAATCAGAAAAAACAATGATGACAATTCATACAAAACTTTTGAAGTGCAGGGAAAGCTGAAAGCCTACGTGAACAGAATCAGCGTTGCTTTGTGACTGCGATGTGGCAGAAGCAGAGAGCGCTGCAGAGCTCACTCGGGATGCTTCAACAAGAGAGTGACTAGTTGTAGAAGATTCATGACCTGCTAATCCTTTCTTTACACGTTTTGAACCAGCAGTTGTTGAAATTTTCCAAACTTCCTGTAGGACACAAGGATACCCAAAAACGCATTTATATAAACTTGATTTTATCAGATTTTCTTTCATCTGCATGGCTAAAATTGTGAGCTATTTCTAACCTGTCGCCTTTGTGAATCTTGTTCTTCTTCCGGGAAGAAGTACTCCCACATCATTCTGTACATTGTCTCTGTCAAATGGATTCTCAAAGGGTAAATCTCCACCTACAGCATTTAAAGGTATTATCAGATAGATTTGAAATCTCAGACAGAAAGCAAACGAACAGTTCGGTTAAAAGACGTCAAACAGAGTCATAACATAAAATCCACTGATATTTACATGGAAAAGCTCAAGAGGATAGTGTCCATCTTTTGGCGCTCCTTGCTTTGAATCAACACGTAGCATCACTTTCCTGCAAATAAAATTACATCACTTGAAAAAAAAATTCACTTACCAGAAGTGACAAAAAAAATTTAAGTGTCTCCAGTCTAGTTCGAACATATGTCAAATTCCTAATTATTGAAGTTTGAGTTTAAGGTGTATAGTTCTAGCCCTATAGTTCCTTTCATTACACTTCAGCCATCAATACCTTTTCCAATGCAACTAAGAAATCAATATGGAAAATAATACAGATATTGTAGATAAGCAAGAATTGGAAACGTACTTTCCCCACTCGGATGGAGGATTCCATGCTGATAAAAGCATATCCGACTTTGCATTAAGTAGACAGTTCCTAACAACAAAAGACTTGGTGGTGAATCGAGCAACACCAATGTCTTTGTAGTCCCGATCAAAGTCATAAATCTGCATGTAACATTCCAATTAAATATGTAGTGATTGCTAGTTTAATGCAACAGACTACGTATACTGCAATAGACTACATCAGAAATGAACTAGAGTAGATTGAGTAAAGATTCTATACAAATTTCTCAGAAAGTAACTCTCACACATTCAAAAGTGTAATTAGCAAAACTGAGGCGCTAGATTAAGAACAGACCAAACGCATAAACACTTACCATGTCATTTATCTCTGCTTCAGCAAAGGATTTACCGTCTACAATCATGCTCCAAACCACCTTATTGATTTGCAATGAAATGCACATAGCATATGACGGACTTTTGTTCTTCTCCTTCTCCATTATTCGCAGCTGTGCAGCCTTCTGCAGCGCCATTCTTAAAGATGCAGAAGCCGCCTTTCTAGACTTCTGTGCATATAAGAGCTCTTTCTTCAATCCTTGCACCTAAAATAGACCATCAAGAAATGCAACACCAAAAATTGTCAGAACAAAACATTTTCGCAAAACCACTTTTGGATTGAAAAAAGAGCTGATGCTTAGGAATGACAATAAGCTGATTAATCTCTAACTAAATAGTTGCATGCACAGCACAATATAGTAGTGAAAACAAGTGAAGCAGTAACCAACGTATCACGAAAAGAGTTTTATGCCATCAAATAACTAAAGTATGAACAGCTAAAACAGAGGTCATACGTCCTTCCATAGAGTCTTACCAGTATGGATTTTCTCGTACTAATCATCCACAATTCACCTTCCCTGTCCATATGTGTATCTTCCATGTTGTCGGAACATTGAGACAATTTTCTTATATCATCAAGAAGTAGCTTCCGTGCCCGCTCTTTCTCTTCGAGGTTAATTTTTGCAAGTTCTACTTCTTCAACTCCGTATGGAACTACTTCATCAGCCTCCTCTTCAACATCTTCATCTTCAGTGGGACACTGGAGGCTACTTTTCCGAGGCCTGAATCATAAAAGCATATGCTTACTAAGGCTAGAAAAATGTTTGTTAAACGAAACAAAGTATTTGAATTTTAACACTAATTGTTAGTGGACTGAAGTGGTCTGGATTCTAGAAAACCACTTAGGTTTTCAATACTCACTTTGGAAGCCTTGCAAAGAGAAGATTGGTTAGCACATCCAGCATAACCTGGAATTGCCGAGACGTCATTGTAGCTGTTATGTTGTGCGAATTAAACGTGAGTTCTTTCAGTGGTTTCACCTACAAAAAGAAAGCACCAAGTCCAAATTAATTGCATACCACTACAAAGAATCCAAAATGTATACCAAGTTATCAACTCGCAGAATCTAGTGCTGTACTATTATGGACAAGCTAGACGCAGAATACTCTGTTTACTAAGTTACATCTCAATGCATAATCCAATGGGGAAAACAGATGAAATGTTTCAGAATTTTGTCATGACAGTGTAGTTTCAACAAGAAACTATAGCTTTTCTCCGATGCAGAAGAAAGAGAACAGACATTTTTCTGGATATAGCTTCTCCTATGCACAACTACTAGATCATATCGACAATTGAGATTCTTATATACCTACTATCAGGTAACTTTGGATTAGAATTAGATAAACTCATAAATCAAAGGAAAGATTCAAGAAACTACAAGATCTACACCAAACTCTACAAGGAAATTATAACAACAAAAGAAACACTATAAGGAAATGGTGTTACCTTTAAATCAGGGTTTCCACCTTTATGTCTAGTATACCGAAAATACATGTCGCAAGGCATGAAAACCCTTTCAAGTAGAGCCCCGGTACGCTTCACTTTTGGTGAGTTTCTGCGAATTTTTGGGAGCCACTGCAATCCAGCACCTGGGTCAACATCAGTGGGAGCAACATGGGCCTGCACATGCTCTAACATCACAGAAAATTCCATCCGTGTCCATGTCATTTCAGGACTACATTCCGGAATATGGACACTTCCAGTGCCAAGAGCCTGCTCAATTACTTCCACACCAACACGCAACATGGAATTGAACGATCTTGCTAGAACACGACCACTAACAGCAGCCAGCAGAAAGCGACCCTGGTACCAGAAAAGAGAGGTTTACTAAACAGTTAGCAAACATTTCTGTATACCCAAAACAATAACATGTCAACTTTGTTGGTTAACAATATTCATCATGCAGTGTCCAAATCGTATTCATCAAGCATCTCTAATATATGCCAAGAAAAGTTTGAATGCTAGCTAGGTAACTTAATCACCAAAGACGCATAGTGCTACTCTAATATAGGTAATGTTGTTAAATGTGCATTCCTACGCAGAAATAGTTGCTTACATTAGCCTCTTCTGAGTGAAGGTTAAACTGTGGCTCAATGACATTCACCATGAAGTGACGAGTCCCGTCTTCCTCAGATTCACTGGTCTCGGCTTTACCTAGATCCAGGTCAAACGAGAATATGTAAATGATGCAATGGAGATTAAAGCAGCATGTTCTCTGAGAAATTCCTGTTTTTTTTAGGAAGTTTGAGAGAAAAAAATTCACAAACGACCTTAATAATTAAATCAAGACATACCAGCTCCGTCATATGATTTCTCAATTTTCACTGAGTGTGACGGTGATGAAGGAAGTCCTGCCATCTCAATGGGCTGAGAAGAGAGGTTTGTTGCAGAGCCTGCAGATGATCTCGACATGTCCCCTTGATGCGTTTCTGCAGAAGAATCTTTTTGGTTTTCTTCATGAATCTTCCTCTGTGTATACTGACGAGAAGGAGAAGGTTTAGGGGCTTCAAATGCTTTCGAAATTCCCCCAACAAAGGACCAAACAGCATCCCTATTCTCTATCGTCCACAGGAGTTTGAGCCCATAAACAAAAACCCTCTGACAATTGTCAGCAATGACAACATTGTATCCATCATCATCACTAGGATCTGATCGTACGTGTTCATCACTCTCGCTTCCATTCTCAAACTCAGACCGCACATACGTCATCTCAAGATTCCTTCTTCCAGCCTCTTGCCATGCCAAAAGTCTTTCAGGATCAGCTTTTGGGGCCTGCCTTCTGATTGTAAAATAATCGGAAGACAATAGAAAGCCTTCATCGCGATGCTTCTCATCCCTCTTACGGTCCTTTCCAGAAGGAACTCTGTCTATCAAAGCATTCTGACAGCTTTTCCTCATCAACTGAACGCTTGCTGGAATGGAAGGATGTTCATCTTTGTTGACAAAAGCCTTAGGCACGTGAAGGTCAAGACCCTGATATACAAGGTCAAGCACATCCCGCTTGCACTCAAATGTATACTTTTGCTTCCCCCGACTAAAGCATAATTCATATTTTAGCTTCGTCATGTTAAAGGTCAATCCTTTGGCAGGATCATCAGAGTCCCAAGGCATGTAATTTATCACGGAAGGAGTGGCATCTACACGGAGCATAAATTCTGTCATCACCTTATCTAGAGATAAGTTTCCTGATCTTGCAAGCCTTGCGACTCCAAACCTAGGCCATCTGGAGAAAGAACGTAACTTGTGAGGAGGATAGTAATTCAAACCCCAGAACTTGAGTATCCATGCCAAATCATGAGCTCCAAGATTCATTGTGGGTGTCTCAGGCTTGTCTTGCGAACTGTAGAGAGTTCCAGTGTCTGTTGGATGCTCAGTACCTGAGGAAGACTGATGAAGCTTTTCGGGTCTCAAAGAGAAATTCCACCGAAGTGAGAGTGAAGTTGATCTGAATGGATCAAAGACCTTCTCACGAGGCTTTCCTTCACTTGGAAATGCAAATAGGTAATGATTCAAAGAATTCCCAGACTCGCATTCCCAGTCCATTGTAACTTCGAGATTAAACACTGGGGCTTCAATAAATGCAGCTCCAGAGGTGCCGACTGGAACTTTTAAAGAATGCCGACTAATCAAACTCTCCAGACTGCTCACTTTTATCTTAAAGTCTTTAGCATTGACAAAAACACGACCATCTGACTGCTGAAGTTCAATAGGACCAGTCACTATTTCAAGTTTATCAAGACTCTCATATGGATCCGTTGTAGCAAGAACAGTCCAATTTGATTTACCAAAAGATAAAGTGATATTGCCATGAACATAGTTTCTCATATCGTCCCACCACGGTAAGCTTCGTTCTTTTTTAGCGACAGGTACAATACCTGGACTCCTATGACTCAGATTAGCTCTACGAAGAGCCACTGTGAAGGCATAGCTAATGTCTGCAAAAGCTGGTTCATATCCAACTCCAAAAGACACTTCTCCCTGTTCAAAGTGTATGCGCAGATCTGAGTAGGTCTTTATCGGTGGAGTTGTGCCAGTTGCTGACCGGAACATTCGCACTTTTCTCCATCTGCCTACGTATACTTCTTGGGAAATTTGTGGCTGAAAGCAGGTTGCCTGGTTTAAGAGAACAGTTACAAGCAGTCATATAATCAGTCAATTGAGGTCATAACAAGAAAATGATGAGTCACAGAACAAAAATTAACACAAAGATTAATCCAAAAAGAGATGGAGAAAATAACCATACCTGCTGAGCCAGCACAATACAACCTTTGCATTTGCCAGAGGTGCCTGAGAGAAGAGGAAGCGTGTAATTTCTTAACTGAACTACCAAGCTTCCAGTTTTCAAGTCAACATTGCTTCCGTATAACCGAGAAAAGGGTATGTCGTTTTCTTGACAAATAGGATCAAGCTTCTTCAAGACTTCTATTAACCCAGCATCACCACCATGAACTGCCGTCAAGCTTAAATCAAAATCTGTGGCACAAACAGAAAGAAGAGAGGTTCTAGCAGCACTTGGCCTGAAACCTGCTTGGAATCCCTCCTTACAGGCACCGGAACCCTTTGAAGGAACTAAACCCTGGCACGCCTGATAATAAGACTGAAACGACCGTTTATGAATCTCTTCCTTCACTTTGTTAATAGCTAGAGGATCCTCGACATCAATTTCAAGCCCATCAAAAAGCATCTTTCTATCATCTGCTGAAGGATCACTAGTTTCTGCAACTTTAGGAGACTGAGTAGCTTTGTGAATAAAATCTTCAAGAAATTTCAATCTGACAGCCAACTCGCAGGCTTCCTTCTTCACCAGGTGATAGTGTTCATCAAGCCAACCTTGCATTGGTTCTTCCTCAATATCTGCGATTAGCCTGCGTATGCACAATCTTATGCGGCCAAATTTCGGACTAGATTTCTTAGGCTTTGAGCTTTCTTTCTTTCTTGAAAAAAAGTTTTTGCCTATCGCTACAGTTATAAGTTTCAAGGCTCGTAACATATCTTCAACTGAATCATCTATGGCACGCAACTGTAGATGGTAAGGCATGCAAATATGCACATCAAGCCCTTGCACTACCCAGTCCCAATGACCCACTACAGGGACTGCATCAGACAAACTCGAAGAGGCAGCAGGGATTCTTGATATTTGCATTCTTGTAGTTTTAAACACTCGAGATCCATTAAAAGCAAGCATTAACCCCTCAAGAAGCACTCCTATACAGGCATTCTCAGAAAAAATTGATTGTGCCTCCAATTTAACCTCCACCCCATCTCCTACCTCAGCTGATATCCTCAAAACTTCCACATCAATAGCAAACATAGATTCTTTTTTCTTCTGCTTCTCAACAGTATTGGACTGATTTGTGTTTTCACTCAGGCTGCCATTCACACTAGAGATGCCTGTGTTGTACCCGCTTCCATGTTCTTTAAGCTTTTGTGCATATACCAGGGATTTCAACCGCAAATATAGTTCATAAAAAGATAGATGGACGTCAGGCTCCCAACCCAGAGAAATCTCAGTAGCACTGAAGAGAGAACACACTTCAATTTCATTAAGACCACCAGATCGACGTACAAGCTTCGCGTTGTGCATATCAAACAATGTGACCTTTGAACAAGGTTTATGCTCTTCCAGATACTCCTGGTAGATGGATGTTGCTCTTTCAAGTTCCATTTGCGTTGAGTGTTTATCCTTGTTAAGACAAAGGCTAAACTGTGCTATTTCAAGAGAGACTGAGTACTTCAGTCTTTTACATTCTTCGGAAGCAGTGGACAGTATGCTCGCAGTGCGTGGTCTGCCATCGGCTAATGAACGAAATGTAACCCGGCCACCTTGTGATCCATAGTTAACGGTTTTAGGGTCGTCAATAACTGTATTATCCAGACGTGTATCATCACAGTAATTTACACAGCAACGCTCAAGATTAAGGTTCACAAGCCTAGTTCCTTTCCCAGATGCTTTGGACTGTTGCACTCCTCCAGTCTTATTCGTCTTTTGTCCGGCAACAGATAATGTCTTAAAAAGTGCTTTGAAGGACATAGCATTCTTTATGAGAGATTCCACACGCTTGAGAGAAAAATAAATACCCATTCCAGTCACGTCTACTGAGAGCACCACTTTACTTCTGAAACCAACCTCGTCAGATGATGTCCTATCTCTTCTTCCCCAATCCAAGCTAAGCTTTGCTATATGCATCAACGAGCCAGAGTTTGGCTCTATCCCGAAAAGGTTTTCTTTAAAGCATTCTTGGTACTCATCTGCCAAATGCAGATTCAGTTCACCAAGTTCAACATGAATTGCTGTGCCCGTACTCGAAATGTTATTTGCAAACACATGTGATGACTGCGAACAAAGCTGCATATAAAACACCACAAACGAATTACAATTTAATTTCAGTTAATGTATGAAGGCTAAAACTAACCAAAATGGTCTCAGAGAAATATAGTAGAGAAACTTACATGATACACTGGCAGATTATCAATACCATATACCATAACAGTCATCTCAGGGGCTGAAACTGTTCCTGTCCATATAACGGCTTTCATATCCGCAGCTTTTGATTTCTCAGCAGTGTGAGTTTCCCCTTGAAGAACCAGTTTTTTCTTTTTCAAGAAATGAAGACGCAACCATGGTTGGAGCCTAGAAATCAACAGATTACAACGGGTACCTCCCAGCTTTATATCAACTTCAGCTCTAACAGGCAGAACTGGCTGAAAAAAAAAGAGTAGCCCATTAATGATATATGTAACAATATTTCGGAGATAATAAAATTTTCATTGTCGTGCAAGAACTTCAAGAGCTCATGTTCTTATCCGCAAATTAAGCAGTAAAATAACAAACAGAAATCAAAGTAGCAGAGACTTATTTAAACTGAACTCCAGTATGCACAATATGTAAAATAAAACACATCCGGAACTCAAAAATGAAATCCTACTCATATTTTCGGTGCTTTTATACTTTTGTTACAATGAAATAAAAGCCACACAGTGATGAAAGAAAGGACGAAAAACACTGAATGTCTGAAAACATGTCAATGGAAAGTCCGTTATCAAGAAACTAATTAATCGGCCTAACTTTCACAAGGCAGTATTCTGAGTCAAGAGCAAAGAACTTTGAAAAATAGATTATAATGTCATGGTTTTCAAACCTGCATTGGGATGTAGATAAAGGAGACCACATCAACTTTCATAATCTCTAAAATAGAGGACTCAGTTTCTTTGAAAAGCTGCAAAGAAACATGCGAGCATAGCGTCAATAGAACAATAGTAGAAATCAAAATATCTGAAAGAACTTCTATAACACGATCATACATGAATCTCACTCAGTTCCATCTGAACATCCAGACGTGTACTCTCCCCTGTGTCTTCAACGGATTTGGATTTAACACTCCTCAGTTGTATCCCTGTGATGTTATTCTCAGCAAGAAGATCATGTTCTCGATTCACACATCTGACATCCAGTTTGGGTAAATTGAAGGAAACCTGCTCAGTATGACCAAACTGTAAGTAAACCTTTACCAAAGCTTCATGCTTACGCATCATATAAACAAACACACACACAAATGACGCATACAGATGGTTGCCCAAAATATTTCCCAGCAACTAACTTAATGAAAATAAATAAATAAATAAATAAGCCAACTGACCATTTCAGGAAAAGATGGAGAATGCTTTGTAAGAGCTGCCAACAGCTGATTGTCTTTGGGAGGTTTCTTGGCAGATGAAGCAGCAGTAACTGACGTTTTACTCTTGGGAAACAAATCCTCATCCAAAGTCAGAATTACATCCCCAGATATAATTTCCAAGTTTCGTAAAACAATACCTACTGTCCTAAATTTAGTAAAAAAGCAACAACAAAAATGCCAACAGTTAGCAAACCATTGATAGATTTATCTTCTGAAACATAGCGGCACAGAGCACTCTAGACAGTGTAAGTTTCCAGAACAGTCTAGAATTACTCAATTTAAGGAGGAATTACGTTATGTAAAAGCCAGATACGAATGATGGTACCTGTCATGTCCAAACTCAGAAGAAAGAGAGAGCTCATCACAAAATAATGCAGCAGATGACCTGTCTGATGAGGCAGGGGATGTTTGGGAAGCAGAACACGTTTCAAAGCTTAAGGTAGACGGCTGATCAGAAATTATGCGTGATTCACATAAATGAACCAGAATCGGTATCAGATGTAGCTGAACATATAAATTTGGCTGAGTCCCACCATCCTTAGATATATCCAGTTTCAGCTCCTTCACCTCCACTATAGCCTTCTTGGTCTGCATTTCACACAAGAGTATTAGAAAATGATTTACAGGGAAGTCACTATTCAAGAGCAGTCAAAGTTTCGGATCTTAGTAAAGTCAAAATGAATTACCTTCACAGTGATATCGGCAACGGAAACTGAAAGAAATCTCGCAATGTTAGCCACCATATACCACTTTCCCCTGCCTGGAGTACTAGATTTATGACTTTTGACTTTTGGTAGACTTTCTGTTGAAGTTGAGGACCTCATCACGACTTCAAGATCACATATCAAAAGTTGCACTTTCCCAAGGCCAAGTTTGACCAATGACTTGCGAAAGCTTATTTTAATTTCACTAGCGGACACCGACTCAATGGCACCCTGGAAAAACACTCAAAACCAGCAGCAAATCATCCAAAATTGCCTCAAAAAAAAATTGCAAAGAATCATTGTACAAGTACTCAAGTAAAGAAACACAATCAATCATGCAAAATTAGTACTACCACAGCACAAAGAAGCTTATCTGCCACCTGTACTCCATCCCAAGAAAACAACTAATGCGAAAATGAAATCCACTACATTCATCTGATTCATTCAAGCTTCTACAGAACCATTTTTTCTCAATTCCAGCAACAAAAAAAAAACAATCTAAAGCTTCTCTCCCTTGACAACAGTTTACAGAATTTTCGAGGCTCACCTTATTAAACTTCACCACGACGTCCCTGAGGCATTTCAATCCGCCAACACGGAACACAACGGACGCTCCCAGAACCCGACTAAGAAACAAGGCAAACAATCTAGAACACAGTCTGCAGAGCGAAATTCGAAAAAAGTATAAGCTACAATTTCACCACTAGATCAAGTAGATTACAGAGAAGATAACATATAATCAGCTATTTCGGAGTAGAAGCAGTCGGATCCAAGCAACTGTTTATCTCGAGCTAATTTGAACTTAGTAGAAGTTAGGATTAACTCAGAATTTCAAGCAGAGAAGTCAAAATTGGACTCACATGAAGATCATCCACAAGACGATGGAAGCAATCAGGAATCCGAAGAAGAACTTAGCAGGCGAAGCCGCCATCTCCACCACCGCGAAGAGAGATAGAGATAGAGATAGAGAGCTAACTCCGCCGGAAAACTGCTAAGTCTTACCCGCCGCCGGCACTGAAACTAACGATTTCCAAGCAAAACACCATTTTACTCTCTTGAGTCCACGAGAAAGAGACCAGAAAAAAACCCTAATTCGTTCAAATTGAGTCAAAATTCAGCGAGAGTGTGAGACTATCGAGCTGCCTCCATAGATGAAAGATCCGATCCGCGAGGTTTTTGCAGTGTGATCGCTAGAGAGAGAAAGAAGAGAGAGAGAGAGGGGAGACTGTTTGGCTGGTCTGATCGATGACCATGTGAGACTGGTGACGACGGAAGGGTGAAGAATTTGCTGGGATCTAGTGCGGCAAGGTGTAGCGTAAGGTCGGTGGTTTTATCGGGCAAAAGACGCTTGAGATGTACGGAGTTAATCTATTTATTTGTAACGATTAAATAAAAATTATTACACATTAAATAAATTTCCGAATATGTGGTTATAAATATGTAGTTGATTAAAATGTAAATTTTACAATACATAAGGGTTTGTAAGATTATTTTGGCATTGTCATTACATTTTGAGTGGGTCATGTAAGGTTAATCTATCATATTAGTATTTGCAAATCAATTTTCGTGAATGGAGCCACCACGTTAACTCTCAGCCTCGGAATTACATAACTACCCTTAATGAAAATCTTGAATAAATCTTTCAATTTGCTTATTATCTTATTTAAAAACGAATTTATTTTATTGGACGATGGATAACGAATTTTGCTTTCTTCCTAAATTATTTTTGGATATATACCGTATAACTAACATATTTTCGCGCCACATATATGGAAGAAATTAAAAAAATTGTAAAGAATTAAAAATTGGAAAACCTAGGTTTGTTAGCCGACTCTGTCTTATATATAGTTATAGCTACAAGCAAAATCAACCCAATTCTCATTACGATTTGCATATCTTCTTTCTATACGTAATCTTACTTCTTAGGTCTCATATTTCTTCTTCTCATGTATCTTTATTGTTTCACTTTGATTTAAGTTCTATTTACTGTAATGATTAACTGATTATTTGTTATCTACTGTCAATCATCTACATATACGCTTCTAACTTCTTCTTCTCTCGCTTTTGTAACAGTGAGTTCCAAGCTAATGGAATCTAGAAGATCAGATTTGGTCCCAAGCGAGAAATATTCAACTCCAGCAAAAGAAGGTATGAACATCTATCCTTTTAATTACCATCTTAATATTCATGAAACCCTAATTCTAATGGCGAATCTATAACGATTTTTTTTTTTAATATCCATAATATTTGCTTCTTATGTTAATGAATCAGGCACCTACAAGAAGCTTCTTACGTATGATAAGGTTTGCGAATTGATTTTCATGAATGGAGCCACCACGTTAACTCTCAGCCGGAATTACCAAGATGCCCTTAATGAAAATCTATTATTAAATCTTCTGAATTTCCTTTTTTAATTATTTCACAATTTCGTTTTTTATATAAAAGTTCATTATTTCCTTATTAATTTCCTTATTAAATATTGATAATTATCCTTTTTTTTTTCCTCGATTTATATTTATCACTTAAATAAATATCCTAACTATCATATTACCGCACCACTTTTCTGGAAGAAATCAAATAATTAGGTATTTTAAAAAAACTCTAGATTTTACAACCGACTTAGTCCTATTTAACAAGCAAAATAAACAGAATTTCGTTTCTTCTTTTTCGTGTTCTAAATTCTTCGATTCCATATTTCATCTTTTGTCATGTAGGTTTATAGTTATTGCTAGATCTTAGTTGTATTAGATCTAATGTTTAACTGATTATTCGTTATTTTCTGGAAATTTTATTCAAAGAATCGCATCTAACTTCTACTTCTTTTACCTTTATAACAGTAAATTCCAGGTTTGTTAGCTAATTGAGTCAAAGAAATCAACTATGGTACCAACTCAAAAAAAATGCATTGACAAAAATTAGTGGTATGTACATCTTTCGTTTTTATTTTCAACTTAAATCTTATGAAACCCTAATTTGAATAAACTTATCTAAAAAGATTTTGTAAAATGTGGGTTTAGGTGTGCGGATTGGGGGGGGGGGTTGTTATTTGGTAGTGGTGTTACAATGTGGGGTTTGGGTTATTTAGGGGGTGGTGTTACACTGTGGGTTTGGGTTTAGGGTGTAGGGTTTATATTGATGGGGTAGGGTTTAGTTTTTGGTGTATTTTAAAAAAACTTGAATTATTACAGAAGAATTTCATAATAAAAAAATCATTTATTTGAAATTTATATCTACTTTCAAAATTACATTCACAAATAGAAAAAAAAACTAAAACAACTAAAGAAAATCCAGAATTGAAAGATAACAAAACTAATAAATTTTTAAAAGACCTCAACTATATAAAGATAGAATCTATTTCAAAAATATTGAAAATTTTAACTATCGAAATGAATTGGTAGGTGATATGCAAGACACAAACAAGACATAATAGATACATAAGTAAAAGAAAAGAAAACAGTGAAAAAGAAGATGAAAAATTTAGAAAAGAAAAAGAAAAGTCGAACATGAGGAAAAAGAAAGGAAAGAAGAAATAATGGAATGTGAAGAAAATTCCAAAACAAATGAAGAATATTACGTAGAAGAACAAGAAAGAGAAGATAAAAATAAGACACCTCAAGATTACAAAAATAAGAAGTTTGCGAAAACAAAAACGATGAATACAATAAAAAGTTGTACTACTTATATTATTTAAATCTTTAATTAATAATTGTATTTAAAAAATATTGTACCCGCACAAGGTGCGGGACAACCACCTTATTTACTAATATAGATCGAGAATTCAATTTTTTTTTCCCAAAGATCGAACGTTTGTACAAAGTTACAAACATGAGTATATTTCATTATATTTTAGTAGTTATTTAAGTCTACTTTTGATTATCATTTTTGTTTGTAAAGTAGTCCATATGACCATATCTATGACTGGTCATTATAATAAGTGTTGTAAGTCACACCGTCATATTTATGGCTTAAAATGGTATAGATAGCCAAATTTTTAGAATTAAGTGCAAATACTACTGACTACTGTATAAAGAAATGAAACTCTTGTAAGAACCATAATTAGAAATAACTAAATACCTTAATTATGTAAATTACTATATTTCTAAATACTTAAGATGGTCTCCATTGACATAATGTATTAACTTCTTACAACTTTGTAACAACACCGTACATGAAGTCGTCGTAAATCATAAGAGATATGTGAAGCTTCGATTTCACCTTTTGACGTTTTTGCTTGCCTTTGACTTTGGTTTGGATGCGACTTCGTTTTTCTCCTCCTATTTGTATTTCCTTTCTAGCTTCAATATTCTTATAATTATGGGAACCTTGTTGATGAGATATAGAACGTGGTCTAAGCAAATGTTAAGAAATATGAAGCTCACGCCTCAAGTGATTGATAATAAAAAACCCTTTAACAAAAAAAAAAGTGATTGATAATAAAAATAATAAAGCGTTAGTTCAAACGCAAATTATGTTTTGATTTTGAGTAGCAAACAATGGAGTGGTTCCTTGTGTGAAGGTAAATAGGAGAAATAATGTTATTGAGAAGGATATTGGATGAAGAAGTCCTACTTACCTAAACAAAAGGTCAATAAATAACATCTAGGCAAAAAGCTAAGATTGAACTCCTTTTGTTAATTTTTTTTTTCTTTCTTTTTTTGTTTGCTTGGAATTTGGAAAAAGGAAAATTTTAAAAGGATTAGCATCTAAGCTCGAAGCACATTTGGGCTAACATCACCGCACTTCGTAATCCGTATGATATTTTTTCGTGAAAAAATTGGACAAACATTGTCTTATTAGGGCATGTGCTCCAAGCACCATTCTACTCTTTTTCAAGAGATGAATGGGCAATCAACACCTACGTTGCATGGAAACTCCGTCCAAGTCGTGTTTCTCGTTTCGGAAACGTTTCCAAAATGGAAACTCTCGGAAACTCGTTTTCCCACGTTTCCTAACATTTGCAGTTTGGAAACTTTTTGGAAACTCTTTAGTAGTAAACACGTTCTTCTTTTAATTGTTTAAGACAATTAATTAATTAATTTGATACATTAGATGAAAACTAGTCTTATTATTAAATATTGAGTTTGATTATTTAAAATCTTCCTCTTGATGAAAATAGTTGAAGATAGTTTGATTCATGAAATGCATAATAATAATAATAATAGAATATATTTTTAATTTTGACATGAGACATTATAATATTTATCTTTAATTTAACTATTTAATATCTATATGAATATCTTTGCTCTTCCTTTCTCTTTGTTCTCAGCTCTTCCTCGTGCACGAGAGGTTTCTTCGACGACTTTCGTCCAGGCTTGTCAACAAAATCGTCGTCGCTTTCATCGGCTTTGCTCTTTCCCTTTTTTCTGGGACCGTCCTCGCTTTCACCCGCTTTGCTCTTCCTCTTCTTCTTCGCAGCAGCCTCAGTTTATTTATTTATTTATATTTATACACGTTTCCAAAACGTTTCCAAACTTATATATTTGAAAATACATGTTTCCCGTTTCGGAAACGTTTCGCTTCCGCGTTTCCGTTTCCGTTTCCATGCAATGTAGATCAACACTATCCCCTAGAATGAATAAATTGCACACGATAGTGTTGTTTTTCCTGGATATTCTTGATGTTTTCTCTTTAACTGTTTATTAATAAATTATAAAACTTATTTTATTAAATTATAGTATTCTGAAATTTATACATAAAAATTAACCTTTTTACAAAAGGCATACTAACAAGGTTAAAACTGGATTTTAATTAACAAAATTGCATAAGAAATACAAAGTGACATTCTCCTTTTTTGTCACGAACTGATTTTATAAATCAAACATCCATTACACCCTCATAAAGGAGGAAGAGTACCAACATAAAAGTTGGATCAAAAGTTACAATAAACACAACAAAGCTAAAAAATGCAAAATAACAACAACAAGACAAATT